GTTTTACTGATGCCATCGAAATACCACATTGTTGAGCAAACTTTAAATTTAGTAGAAAACTATTAGTTTGGAGATAATATATTTTTTCTTAATTTATTTATTTGTTTATTGTTATGCAAATGGTTTGTTACTTCGAAATGGAAATCGACTTACCCAGTCAGGTGGCAGAAGTCGTGGGGGCTCAGGGGCAACATCCCCAAAAGGTGGGGGTCGAGGGGGCAGTGCCCCTCATGGAGATTACCCCCGAAAAGAATTCTGATTTTCATATATGTGCTAAAGAGATATAATTAATTTATAAGCAAATTTAACTTAAATTTCAACATATCCTACCATTATAACTACAAACAATACATAGCAAATTATTAATAAGCGAAATCGTATTTAGTTTGTGTAAAATGTAAGCAAATGACATCGCCTAAATTTAATAAGAAGTAAAAGAAGAGTCAATTTGAAAAGCCACGGAGACATGTCTCCACGGTTCGCAGCGAGTAGATTTTTTTTTTTTTTTTTAAATTATAAAAGTGCTAACAACTAAGATATTTCAATTGATTATGTTAGTTTTTGCATGCTCATGAACTAAATAAAAGTTGGAAATATATTTCAGGTGTCTTTTTTTTAATAATTTTATTCATGGCAGATATGGGGTCCCTACTTCACAAAGAAAAAAAAAAGTATTTGGAACATGGTTTTTTGACAAGTATTTTGAAATTTTTTTAGGAGGAATCAGTGGAAGAACATAAGTGGAAGAACATCAATTCAAATCTTGGATTTTCGATTTGAGAAAGATATTAAGAAAGATCAAGAATTTTCATTATTTCTTAGATTCGTGGAGAATTTTTATTAATGAACGATAAGCTCCTTATAGTATGATGCATCTAAAGCGATTAATTTCAACAAAGATTACGATAAAAGGAAGACCCAGTAGAAGAAAAAATCTCCTCTAAAATTGCTCACGTTGCAATTATTCGTGGATATCACCGGCAAATGATCCACGAATAGTGAAGGAAAATTTGTCCTTGAAGTCCGAAAATATCCGTCAATAGAAGGTCTCATCGAATACATTTTGTGTACGTGGATCGAGGAGAAAATCAACTCAACTTCTACATGATAGAAGCAAAGTGGTCAAGCGATTAAATCATCCTTTCCTTTAAAGTAAATTTTTTTGTTTTTTTCCTTAAGGAATAGTATCTTAGAACAATATCACTTGATTTTGCAAGATATTTTATCTTCAGCCACCAAAATCGTCCATGTGTTTGTAAGAAGGAAAAATCAATTTGCACAGAAAAATATTCACAGAAATGCAATAGAATAGAGACAAACGGGGTCCCACCAGAGGCGGACGCAGAACTTTAACGTTGGGGGCACGATCGAATTTGCAAAGAAATTGGGAGAAATTTTATAATTGAAAATTACGTCCAAAAAAATCACACTCCATGTAATTTTACATCCAAAAATTTACATGGGATATGACTTTTTTGTATGTAAAATTTCGAAATTTTTTG